AATATTTTATTATTTTTATTTTAATTGTTAATTGATTATTTCATTATTTCTTATTTAATTGTTAATTGAATATTTTATTAATAGTTTATTTACTATTTAATTATAATTAATAGAATATTAAATAAATAACCGAATATTTAATATTTTATTATTTATAACTAAATAATATTTTATTTTTTCGTATTTTAATTGTTGATTGAATATTTCATTATTTATTTAAATTGTTTATTCAATATTAAATTATTTATTTAACAATTAATTGTTTACTTTAATTGCTAATTATTTATTTCAATTAAATATTTAATAAATAATTTAATATTGATTAATTTAAATTTATATAAACAATTAAATAAATATTTAAAATTAAATGTTCAATAAACAGTTAAATAATCTAGTTTATATTAATTAAACAATTAAATAACTAATTTAGGGGGGGAAAAAAAAAAAGAATGGGCCAGCTAACTGGGCGTCTAGGACGTCTAGCCCAGATGCCTAGTAGCCCAGTTCACTGGGTGTCTGGGCCAAGACGACGAAGGCTGCTCGTCGCTGCAAATGGCAGAGATCGCCATTTCCAACGATCTCTGCCAACCAAAGTACACAAAGAATGGAATTTCATGCATAATTTATTACCCTAGTTCACCAAATCTCTACAACATGCTTTATTTATTCAATGACCATTGGACATGCTTTGTAAAATACATATAATAGTTCCCAAACTTACATTCTTAAAGAGGAATGTCGATCTCCAGTCTGGGTCGTCGATTTTTTGGCCGGATGGATCGTCGGTTTTAGGCACGAGTTTTTTCTCTCCTTTCTCTCTTCAAAATCACGTGAGGGTTAAAATGACTTTTCATTACTTTTAAGTGTTTATTAATTTTTTCCTTTTAAAAAAAAAAAACAGTCAACGACCATTGTAGAAAGATGGCCGATTCCACTATTTCCTCGATCTTGCACGACGATGTGAGGTTCACTTGTGACTCTAAGAAAGTTGAAATAGACATGATTAGTATAACCTATTGAGCTATGTGAGATACATGACATGCTATCTGAATGAGCTCATAGTATGAATACCTACGGAGGTTATTTGTATGTGTTTATAGATGATCGATTATTTCTACGTAATTTGCCAATACAAGATAAGATTGTTCAGGATATCTTTTTGTGTATTCACTATCATATTTATTGGATATTGGTTCTTGTTTTTATTCTTCCATTGTAGAGCAAGATTCTTTCGAATATAGTGTACCCATGGAAGGTTCGACTTCAAATTCAACAGTGACTAAATCATGATCAATTGGAGGTACGAGGAGGATGAGGATCCACCAGTCTCAGTCTTCGAATGGGTAGTGACTTCTACAGAGAAGTACTATACCATTCACCTAGTATCTCGACCCCTTGGCACAGTCAGATGACTAAAGCCAACTTTCATCCCTGCTCGACAAGTGAGTCTCACAATCAAGCTCCCTTTTGCCTTTGCACTCGAGGGTTAATCTCCATCCAGCCCGAGAAAACCTTCGCACACCTCCATTACCAGCCAATTAGAGTAGGGGAAGGAGCATAGTATGTATGTGTGCACCCACGCTCGTGTACCTATGCATATGTACAGTATGTGGTTGGATTGTACTTGGATATTCTTTGCCCTCAACATACTGTGACATTGAGACGTTCAATAGGCTAAAAATAATTCAACTACAAGACTCGCAGAATATGCTTGTGACACCATGGCATCCATCTAGTGAAAACATATTTCTATGGAGGAGGAAGTAGAACCATGCCTAGTTGACATGGATTATACGATTTGCATCAAACATAATTCCATAACCTTTACACCACCAACTAAAATGGAAAAAAAAAACAAGAAAGATACCACATTACTTATGTTCGATTGGCGTACCACAACAAAATAGAGAACCATTAAACTGTATAAGAAACATATTTGTTACATCTTGTATCAGCATCTATGGTGTGAAGAATCTGAAACTAAAATATTAGTGTCAGCTTAAGTAAAAATTATCTAATGCCAGTGGATAAACTGACTTTCGACTCTAATAGTGAAACATTGATTTTATCTAATGGAGGATAAGCCAAATCGAGGCTACAATCTTTATCTGGTAATGATGTTATTTGCCTCCTTCGCACCTGTGAAACCCTTCAAGGAACTTGACTTGCAGTATAAAACGAGAGTTGATGTTGAAATTGATCCAAAATTTCCGAGGAGCCAATCTCAGTTCGCTAATCTGTTTTATTTTCTTTCTTTGCAGGTGGCTTTTGGTATAGGATTATTTGACTTAGGATAGTACCATTAGTCATGATTCCAATCACAGAGCCCAGAATGACTACAAAAATAGAAATCAAGTAAATTTACGTAGTTAGACGATGAATAAAGGTCATTTAGCTCTCCAAAGAAAGAGAGTAGTTAACAAACAACAGAAAATGAAATAATTTAAATTGCTAGTGTGGTCTACAAATGATTATCGGTAAGTTTCTCCATCGATGACCATGATGACAAAATAATCGTGTTTCCTGGTAATACAAGATTCTTGATATATATCATATCGAAAATTCTATTTGTACATAATTTTTTACCTAATGTTTTACCGAATTGATTTACCGAATTGACAAGTGGCGGCCCGGCCGCCACTTGTCAATTCGGTAAAACATTAACAAAATTAGGTAAGTGTAGCATAACTCATATCATATATAGAAGAAAAGTATAGATTACGAGGTGTCTGTGTGCAACTGAACCAACGATTAGCCATATATGAAGTGTTCACTAGATTTTGGCAATTCTGTATGTAGCGGTTTAAAGCTCCTTCAGTTCTCTCTCCTGCATTCTTCTCCAAAGTGCATACCACTAGAGAAGGCAGACTCTAAAACCCACATGGTATGTTTTCTAGTTGTGAAGGATATAATTAATTTAGATGTTCCAATAGATCTAGCAATGAAGTGACAAAACTAGATCCATGTAACCAACTCCAAATTTGTCGAGAACAAAGTTGAGTTTTTTCTTGTCGTCGTTTTAAAAGCAGACCCTAATTGCATGCATTGGTTTCACACTTAGGTTTTACTTGTACTCTGTTGAGCTTTTCTTCATGTTGAGCATCCCATAATTTAATCCATATTTCAATTCTGTCTACTTTGCATAGAAGATGACTTGCAATACAAAATACAGCTAGATAATATGAGATGGAAGTTTTCAGGATTTTCATCTGAGATTAAAAACAAAATGTAAGCTATTTATCAGCCCGTAATCAATGTCCAATGCACAAAAATTTTCACATGAAAGAAGGAAGGTGCTTATGGCAAGTTTTGTAGATAATTTGGTAAGACCGAAAAATACTAAATAAGAAAAAGAAGTTAAAATTGGTCGTCTTGTCCTGTCCAGTGTTGTGCACCAAACCCTTTATTACTTGTTTGGTGTGGTGCATTAGACAGAACTCAACAGCATAACGAACAAGATTTAAGTTTCTTTTTCCTTTTTTAGTTCTATCCAATGCGGTCAAATCCTCCTTCCCTAATATGCTATTAATGTATCCGTACCATGATGCTTAAGATGACATTTTTTAGAATGTTTGAAAATACTAATAAAGTAAGAAAAATGTAATATTACCACTAATTGGTGCCTTTTCTTGCATGCTGGTGAAAACTCTCACTGCCAAAAAATAAAAGGTAAGCATCTGGACATCTATCAATCCACAGAAGCCGCCTATACCAATGTGATAATCAACATAAACTTACCCATGGAACCTCCAAAATTCATTAACGAGGTCAAAAAGCTAAGCTCCCCAGTACTTTTGTTCTGCTCAAACAATAATAGACATTGTTAACATAAAAGGGAACATTGGGGCTGGGCTCCCCAACTTTTTAGCAAGTGATATTGGCTCCCTAACCTTCAAAAGTGAGGTTTTGACTCCCCAACCTAGAAGTGTCAATCTGGGTGGTCCGGGCCGGGGCGGCCCGCCAACATGTGAGCCCGGTAACGGCCCGCGTGAAAAAAAGCCCGCCCGCTGCGGGTTCCGGG